TTCACAGGGTGTCTAGTGATTGACCTCGACCTGCTTCCCAGCCAGGGGCTCCAGATATTTCATCTATATCCTTATGCATGATAAAAACTTAGCATGATACTAAAATATGTACAGCACTTCACTGACACATGACAGTATGTAAATATGATTACTGTTAATAGACATAAAACACACAAAGCAACTTGGGATTAGTGAAGTATTTTAGGTAATGTTCATTTCATTCATTGCATAGAGAAGCTTTGGAAAATTAAGCTTATTAATCACACTTACAGAAAGCTATGTGATTAACAGACTTGATTAGTAAACTATATTCACTGGCTCAAAATCTGCAATCCACTAGTTGACCTGACTCTAGCTTTGCTAGTTTTAATGACTGTGGTAGCATAAAAGCCTTCTCCTAGGCATAGGCCAAGAGGTACCCACTCTTCCTTGGGTTGTACACTGTGTCTAGAAGCCCTTTGCTCTGTCCTAGCCAATACCTGCACAAGGTTTCTGTTGTCATTTGACTGTGGCATGTTCTCTTGTCCATCAGTTCTTGTTACAAGTTAGTTGCAATGTACTGCACTTTGTGTATTTTAAATAAACAGAGATAAATCCCACTGTGACTCTCCCATGGAAAGCTAAGTTGCATGGAAATTAACAGCAGGCAGGGACAGCCCTTGAGAGACTGTACAGAAGATGAGAGCACACCAGAACTGTGGCTGGAAGCAAATCGATGAAAGGTGAGGCCTCCAGGTAAAGATGCAGTGACCAGACCCATGCGCCTCCCCAAGGAATAAACCCTAACTTGGGATGGCACTGTGATTGGTATCATCTGGCCCAAGAAGTCCAGATAGGCATCAGTCAGCCAGGTGGGTGACCATAGCATCAGCCCCATCCCTTCCTCAAATGCCTTTGCTCTTTCCATGCACCCTTGCTATGTGAGCCACTTCCCTAATGGATCAATACGAGCTAAGTAGTAATACTCATAACTCTATAGGTTGGCTGCAGTTTGACCCACATTGTACTCACATTGTCACTTTGCTGATTTAATACCCCTGACACAGGGCCTTGGTGGCAACCCACTCATTGCCCCTCCTGTTTCTCAGGATCTATTCCTATTATATGATATACTCTTCATACTCTTAACCTCCGTGGTCCTTTAAAATTCATCCTTCAATTTTGAATATGAACTCAATGTATCTGACATCTAGCAGGTTAGAAGTTGTATTTTTCCCATATCAATTCCTCATTTGGAAAAATCTTAAATGGGTTTAAAAATTGTATCTCACATGCAAGAGGTGTTTGGTTTTTTTTTCTAGACCATAGCTATCATTTTGGACAGAAAATTTAATAATAATGCCAGAATTTCCAAACACTCGTTTCCAGTATTCTGTCTGCAGTACCAACAAGCTTGTGTTCCAAAAGGTAATTATTTTCGACTTATTGAAGTAGTCATTTTTTACTTTAAAAGAACAAACTTTCCTTATTTTATGCATGAGAAAGAGAAAGAGAAAGGGGGGGCATGTGCTCATGCTGGAGACCAAATCCAGGGCCTTGCATATCCAGGCAAGCATTATGTCTCCAGTGCTATATAAATATAAAATATTATACAAGTAGCATAGGATATATTATATAAATTACATATTTTATATGTATGTGATGACCTTTAAGTTTTTTCTTTTAATTTTTAAAGTATCTTTTATTTACTTATTTGGTACAGGGTCTCACTATGTAGCTGGGACTCGTAGTGACTCTCCTGTCTCAGTCTGCCTGGCACTGGGATTACAGGCATGCACCACCACGCCCCGCCAGCAAGGCACATGTTCTGGCCAGCACAGCATGTGGCACCAGGGATCAAACTTTGGTCCTTGCACTTGCCAGGCAGGCGCTTAGACTACCAAGCTATCTCCTCAGCACCCTTTAAGTTTTACACCTCTTTTTAATGGTTGGTAGAAGGTAACCAGCAAGCCCCACTTAGCACAACATTCTCAGGCCCACTCCCTCCCCTCCATTACAAAGCACATTACTTGCAGCCTCGAGTGTCTCTACAGCTAATTGTAATGATGATACCCTACGATTCGGCCTCCACTGTGTCTCAATATACTGATGACAGAAGAAAGAGGATGTCCCCACTGTGGCTTTCCTACAGGGAACCTTGGAATTGAGGCATGATATGTGGCCTACATCTAATGTGAAGGCTGCATACAAGTAAGTACTGGTTAGTAAAGTTTAACTTCTCTTACATTTGTATATGAAAACAAATGGAAGTTTCTAATGCCAATTCCCAGACCCTACATGGTCACCTTGACCTTCAGTCCCCAGCTTTCCAGGAGCGCCCCTTGCAGCACCACCCTGCTCCACCTCACAACCCCAGATTGCTGCAGGCTCTATCCCCTCCCCTCCACTACACAGGAAGTGCCTGGATTATCAGAAGCGCCACACACTGAAAAAGCAGTCCTGTCAAAATATAGCAGCCTCAGGGCTGAGGGGTCTATGACCCCATTTGGATATTTATTTACTGAGCTGAGCCTTCCTCCCCAGATATTTTATGTCTGCATTTTCCAGACATCTTAACTGTAAAGCATCCTACATGTCAGTAAGACTGGCTGAGCTTTGGAGGCCCACCTATTAGCTAGCACCCCAACATACACTGTGCTCTCTTGTGTGCTCCCAAATTTTGTATTCAGATACGCAATGGTAGGCTTTCTTCCTGTGCTCCTGAAAGGAAGGCCACTTTGATTTGCAAGCATCCAAGAATCAGCTTCCTTGGACAACTTTCTTTTCTTTTCCCTTATTCCACAGGGACCAGAAGACCTTGGTCTGAGGCCTGAATCCACCTCCCTTGTCTACAAATCAGGAGAAAGCCTTTTCCACTACCTGTGGTATCTCTTTGATTAAGGAAAAATTATTTGTTAAAAGTACAGCTAACTTTAAGCAAAAAATCCTACTATTCTTAAAAGAACTTACATTATGGCTATGTTGCTTTTTATTCATGGGGTATCTAATAAACAAAATCCCAGGGAATCCTGTAATCTATTCCAAAAGTGCAGGCCACATCAAATCAGTATGCAATGAGCAAACACTAACATGTGCAGCTCCTTCACAGTGAGGAGGAGGGCAAGCGCAAGTCCTCCCTCTTGGGATGCTTCTGTGTGCCTCAGTTTCCCTCTGCCTAAGCTTCTTCCCTAGACAACCCTCATCAGCCATGTGACATGACTCATGCTTCTCATCTCTGCCTCATGTCCCTTTCGGGAATAATGATCCTTTTTCTCCTCTCCTTCCTCCCCTAGACTGCGCCCCTCACCTGTGCCCCCTTCTCGCCCTCTGGCATTGCTGGATGTTCCCTGTCCTTGCCCCCCACCATGTGAGCTGCAGGAGCAGGGGCTGTGTTTCATTCCTGGATGTGTCCTCACCCCCTAGACCACAGCTGGCCTGTGGTGGTACAGGCTCCTCATAAAACTTTGTTGCCTGGGTAACAGAGAGCACTGAGAAAGAGGAACAGGAGGGCAGAGGGGAAGGCTGGCTTGCTTCCACAAGATAGCCTAAAGCCTGCAGGTGCAGCCCTAGGCAAGAAGGGAGAAAAGTTAAGCATGCTGGCTGCTCCTCTGACCCTCCCTGCAGGCAGAGGAAGTGACTGGAGAGAGAGAGAGCAGGTGGAGAGCCGCATGCTGGGAAGACTGCAGTCATGCTGGAGGAAGTGGACAGCCAGACCTATGCAGTCTAGAACTGAGAGCCAGCTGGGAGAGGATCCAGTATGGTGCCAGCTCCCTGCACCTCTGGCCATCTGATACTGCAATCCCCGAGACTCAGGTAATGGAAGACTTGACTGGGCACTTGGGCAGTGCTAGATACCAAACCCCTAAAGGGGGACCCTTCTAGCTTTCTGTTCCCAACAGGACAGCCATTCACAGACAGGGTGACAAGTAAGGCCAGTACTGTCCAGCTTTTCCTACAAAAGCAAACTGTTTCAGTCACAAACCTCCTCTTCATTCTTTGCAGATTTTGGAAATAACTGGACACAAATGAGAACAAGGTCAAGCCTGGGTCTTTACCTGGGCAGCTTCATTTGCTTCTCTATGGACAGCACTAGGAAAATCCTTTAGATGGTGAAATATGCAAAATTGGCTTAGTCTGGAGTTTTACCTAACACAAAAGCTGCAGCACCCCCCACTATTTGGCTGTTTACCTCTTCCTGAGGCCAGGCCCTTGTCTTGCAACACGAAATGCAGACCATAAGTAAAAGAGGCACGAGGACTATCAAAGGCTGAAGGAAGGACAGATCAAAGCCTAGGGCCTGCAGAGAAGCTCTCCCAGCCAGCACCTTAGCCATGGGACCAGCACCTCTTCACTTCAGTACCCTTACACAAGCTGCATCAATCTTCCCCACAGCCCTATGCGATGGACAGTACTGAGATTCTCATTTTGTAGCTTACATCAACCGATGAGTGGGTAAAGACGCAGTATATATACACTCATACAGAGCATTCAGCCATAAACTCCAAAGTTGGGTTACTTTCAAGAAAGTCAAAGGAACTGGAGATCATGTTACGTGAAATAACCCAGACTCAGAAAAGCAAATAGATCCTGTTTCCTCTCCTACAAGGGATCTAGGGGAAAAAGAGAAAGAGAGGCTAGTGAAGTAGAAGGGAGATTCTGGAAAGAGGAAGGCAATAAGGGAGCTGGGAGGGAATGGCGAGGCGTGAAGCCCACCGGCCATACAACCAAGGTGCAGGAACCAGCAGCATTCCTGCGCACAAGTCAGAAACCGGAAACTAGAGTTCCTCCCTGGAAGTCACACACACAGGAAATTACAACCCAGAAGCCGCGTGTTCAAGATGACAACGTGAAGCAAGTGAGAACCCGGTGCTGCCTAGAGGCCCCCGTCAAGCTGCAGCCCCCACTCTTCCCAACTTCTCGCAGCAGGAGCTCGCTCTTAAGGGCCCAGGGTGAGGTGACAAGAAGTTGTGCACGGAAAGGCACACAGTTCGGGCTCAGGAAAGTGTGGATGCTTGTCTTACTGCGTGCCAGGTAGACCCGGCCGTGAGCTCCGACTTCTCCAGCAGGACCACATCTCTCATCCCTGCCTTGGCCAGGTGATAGGCGAGGCTCACGCCCACACAACCACCTCCGATGATCACAGTCTCTGCTCTGTCTTTCCATTTTGTCTCTGCAGCTAAAGGCGGGCTTTCTCTTCTGGAAGACAGTATTGTTAGGAAATGGTGCCTTTACTTGGCTATTGTAGCAGCTAGAAGTTTGGGCTGATTGGTGTTTCCCCTTGCCCAGGTCTCCAGTTCCTAACACCCAGCTATTTTGATTTGCATTGTGCTTTTTTTTTTTTTTTTTTTTTTTTTTTTTTTTTTTTTTTGCAGCCGGCTCAGCCCACCCTGGGGGCGTGAGTGGCACAGCACATAGTGTGGAGAATCAAACCGCGGGCTGTGCGCCCTTGCCTAAGCTTGCCTACGCAGGTGCTGTAGACCCGTGAGCTGTCTTGCCCGCCCCTGCATGGTGCTTTTTAATAATCCTGGGCATCCAAACCCAGACGGGGCAACCGGGTGGGAGAGAAGCGGACACCTGAGCTCAATCCCACATCACAACCCTGAGGCACTGTCAGTACTAACACAGCTAAAGAAATCCACAGGTAACTTCTTTATTTTCAAAGAATCAAGAGAATAATTTTTCTTATTTAAAAACATTCAAATGTATAATAATTTCATAATAACCTTAACCCTCTGTTAGCCATACTTTTCCTACACGAATCTCCCCCAGATACAGTTCTAGTAAAGGTAGTGCTCATGAGGGCAGGAAGATGGATTAATCGATGCCTCCCGTCCGGCATCCACGTTGCTCGCCCCTTCACCTACTCATTCGTTCTTCACTCTTCCTAGCCTCTCACCCAGAATTCCCCAGCTCCTACCCTGAACAGGGCACCAAACCACTCAGCGGTGATGAGCTGAAACGGAGTGCAGCGTACGAACCAGCCTGGGAGACGCAGGAGCCAATAGCACGGCTGAGGGAATTCAGCGTTGAAAGGAGCTCGAGATCCCACTAGCGTGGGCGAGCTGGCGACAGCTGATTGGAGTGTTGAATGAGGAATGAATTGAGCAGGCCACGTGAGGAAGGAAGACTATGGGAGAGGGGAGGTGGCTATGTGGCAGGCCAGGGGCTGGGGGGTCACCGGGGCCAGGAGGTGGCAGAGGGGTGCATCTAGCGGGGTCTCAAGGTGCCCCTCGGCCGTCTTTTGGTCTGTGAGTTCATTGAGGTGAGTTGAGCACCTCAGGCATTTGGTAATCAGTAAGTGCAACAGAAGGCATCAGTGAAGAGTTTCTTGTTACCCCATGCCTACAGTTCATTACCCCGTTTTTCTGTTCTTACTAATCCAATTCTGGCATTAGTTTCTAATTTAAAGATTCACAATATGAATTATTACAAGTCTGAGAAGATGTTCCACATTATAATTTGGTGCCGCAGACTAAAAATTGTAATCTTTAGGGTAAGTTGCTTTTTGCTTTGTGCTGTTTTGTTGAGGATTGAACTCGGGGCCTTGTGCCTGCTTTGCAACCGAGCTACATTACCAGTCTTTTTTAAAATTTTTATTTTGAGACCTTAAATTTCTCAGGCTGGCCTCAAACTTGAGATTTCCCTGTCTCAGCCTCCTGAGTAGCTAGGATTACAGGTTCAGGCCATTGTACCCTGCTTAGGTATGTTTTAATCTATGAAAAAAAAAAAAAAAAGCAGAGAGACACTCTCATTAAAATTAATATAATGCCCGGGGGAGATCGCTCAGTGGAATAAGCGTTTCCCTGGCAAGCACAAGAGCCTGAGTTCAATCCCCAGTTCCACCAAAAAAAATTAATATAATGATACTAATTCTACCATATGTTTTATTATGCTTTATTTGGGAGGATATAACATATAGGTAACATTGCTGGAAAGTCTTGGTAGCTATCTAAACTGCCTTCAAAGTTTACCTAGACTAGAGATTTCTCTTCTTATTATTGGTTTAACTGGTTGGGGGAGTGATTTTCTATTTTGATATAATTTCAAATTTACAAAACAAGTTGCAAAAATTGAAGACAGAACTCTCAGAATGCCTAGAAGGGAAATGTTATTCTCAGTTATTTCAATATATAACATATATGTATCTAAATATTTCTATGTATATCATGTGTAGTTTTCAGCATAAATTCCAGATGCTTCTCAGTATTCCTGTATTCATTTCCTACACTCATATACATACACAATCTTTTACATAACTATAATAGTTATCAAAATGAAGATATTTAACACTGATACAATCTTATCTAATGTATAATACATATTAAAATTTAGTTTGTTCTCCCAATAATGTATTTATATTTCTTTTTCTAGTTAAGTATCAAATCTGCAACCCTTTCTTTGGTCCTTTTCAATTTAGGACATGCTGTGAGTTTCCTGAGCTTGACATTTTCTAAAAGTAACAGCCAGTTCTACCCGAGAGAATTTACCTTCTCAGTTTGGTGTTTCCTTGCTATGTGGGTTAGGTTGTACATTTGTAGTGGGCACATCACTAAGCAATGTTAGAGCTCCCAGTGCATGTGGCTAGGAAGCACATGAGGCTGGTGTGTCCCAGCCTTGGTGTGGCTTGTGTCTGGGGACTTGCTTAGGGTGGGGGCTGTCCAGATTATTTGGTAAAATTACAACATTCTCTTTCATCATTGTAAGTATGAATGTGTGGTGCCTTTGAGACCATGGGAAATGTCCTGCTCCTTATCAAACACTTACTGAGTGCCTTTAGCACCTGTAGACTGTTTCTTACCTGTCACACCCCATTGCATTTACAGTTATCATCCTGCCTACTGCAGGGCAATGCTTTCTTCAAGGCCTGCTTGTTTCCTTTCTCAGTATGAACTTGTGGGTATTTACAAGACTCTGTGGGTTATAACCAATTACTTCTCAGCATTTATTTTAATATCAAATTAAAATTTGAGTTGGTCAATGAAAGTTAAGTTGATCCATTGGTGCTTTTAAATAATCTCATGATTCTTGAACACTTACTTATGGTTTTGTGTTATGTTTTACTAACTCTTCTTTAGACTTTTACCATCTTTGTACACCGCATAAGAAACAATTAATGTACATATAAAGACTTTGCATAGAAATCCATTTTCAAATGGTCTGGAGAGATCTTGGACTTTATTTGAATCGCCTGCCCGCCCTCCTCTCTAGGGTTATGTTTAAGGGTTTCAATGTGTGTGATGTATTTTTATTTTGGGACCAGGTATTGAACTCAGGACCTTGCATTTGCCAGGTAAGTGCTGTTGTGTAATGTATTTGAATCCTCTCCATCCTCCCTTTTATCTAACTTACACCCTCTCCCCCTTTTCCTTTCTCAGAAATGAGAATTTTATATTGTCACTTGGTTTGATCAAGTGCCTTCCAAAATCAAACATTGCCAGTTTTGGATTGGGCCTATAAAGAATATGCAATAGAAATAAAATCATTTAAAATTTGATTTCTTGAATATAGAACCACACATTGCTAAATTAATACAGTAAAATATATTTTGGGTCAATCCTGAATATTATATATGATCACTTTTAAATAAATCATCTCACATGAGTTAAATATCTCTATCCTTTTGCTTGGGGTAAAGTACCATTAGTAGTAGTAGTACTAGTAATACTAGTAGTAGTAGTAGTGGTAGTAGTAGTAGTAGTAGTAGCAGCAGCAGTAATAGTATTTTTGTTATGTTTTACAGTCAAAAAGCATCTTCACATGTATTCTCTTATTTAAACTTTGCAAAAATCCTGTGAGTTCATCAGAGCAAATATTCACGTCTCTGTCTCTGTTTTGTAAATAAGCGGACTGAAACCTGGAAGTGTAAGATCCAGTGACACATAACCAAGAGCTTTGGCAGCTCTTGTATTCCTAGCCTGGGGGCTGTCCTCCAACATCAGGGTTAAATCACTTAAATATGTTAAGTGGAAGGATGAATGGATAGACCAGTGTAAAAAACTGATCATTTGACTACAAACATTTTAGGTTTTGGAATGTAAAATAAAAATTGAGAGCCTACGGAGGTGTGCACTGTGGGAGGCTGAGGGGAGAGATGGTTAAGTTTGAGCACAGCCTGGGCAATTTGGTGACTTAACAATACCCTGTCTCAAGACTTAAAAAATAATTGAAAACAAATTTAAAGGGGATGGAGATGTTCAATCCCCAGTATGACTACATAAATAAGTATTGAGCCAATTGCACTAGTGCACTGACGCTCTACCCTAAGTCATGAAAAATCTGAAAAATCTGCACAGCACTGCTCTATTTAAATACAGACCAATTCAACAAGAAAACGCCTTTTCTCCTTTCAAATTAAGCAAAAGCACAAAGCAGTTGCCACTACAGGAACCAGGGAAGATGGGCAAAGCACATGCAGTTGGGGAAGGGCGAATCCTGCCCCTTGCCGGCTTTCAAACCAATTTCTCTTTTAGAAATTGATTCCACACTGGTGGGCTACAAACTTTCCCTGCAGTCGCTAACTGAAGGCCTAACATTGGCGAGGGGTCTGCTGAGTTACATCGCAGGTGTGCAGCACAGAAAACTATGCAGCCGTTAAGAGGGCAGATGGACCAGGCGCTGCCACAGGCCTTTTCCAAGACCCTCAACCCGAAGAAGCGAAGACCTCCTTAGCCAGCTCCTTCCTCCTTAGGCCGGGGACACCGAGGCCGGCCGAGGGGACTGGAGCGAGGCCACCTCTGTGCGATCCTTCTCTTGCCGGAGTCCCGACTGAGCCCAGCCCGCGGCGCGGGCACCCCACTCACCCTGGCCCGGCGCGGGCGGATCCCCGAGTCTGAGTGGGACTGCGGGAGTGGGGAAGACCCTGAGACAGGACGGGACCCCCGCGCAGCGCGAGACCCAGCCGCGGACGCGCCACCGCGCGGAGGAGCATGGCGAGGCAGGAAGGGGCCTGGCGGCCGGGGCGGCTGGGCAGACCGGGAAGGAGGGGGTGTGTGACCGGGGCGGCTGGGGCGACCGGGGCGGCGCGGGTGAGCGGGGAGGCTAGGGCGGCCGGCGGACCCTCCTCCGGAGGGGCGGGATTTGGTCTTGCCCTTCGGCCCCGCGGCCACAGAGACCGCGATGCTGCGGGCCGGAGGACGCGCGGCCCGGCGGGTGAGCGCCTCCTCCCCACCTGTCCCCCCACCTGCCACCCCCGCCGGGACCCCTTGGCTGGATCCCACCGCGCAGCCCGGGCGCCGTAGCTAGGCCTGGATGCGCGCCCTGAGCCTGCTTCCCCAGCGCCGGCTGCGGCTCCTTTCCGGGGCTCCCACTCTTTACGCCGAGACCCCGCGCTGCTCGCCTGGCCAGCGGACCCGCTCGGCAGGGGCGGCTGTGCGACCCCCGCCTCCTGCCCCCGCGGGCCAGGCTGCCCGCCCCGCCCGCGTCTGCTCCCAGCGCCAGCTTTCCTTCCGCAGCACGTGGGGTGAGGGGCTGGGAAGGGAAGGGAAGGGGCATCCAAGCCGACCCAGAGCGCTCCCGACTGGAGGAGCGAGGAGCGGCGGTCTGGACCCCCCAAAGACGCTTGGAGCCGGCGATGCAGATTGGGCAGGGGACCCAAGGGAAAGGGCAGCGTTTATTTATTAACATTAAAATGTGAGGAGAAGCCGTCTCCTCACCCAGAACCTGGTTATAGGAATTTGATAATTTTTACGTTTTACATTGCTGTCTATTCAAAGATTTGTTTTATTAATATGCAGTAAAGCCTTAGAAATTTTAGTTTTTATTCCTTAATTGGTTAATACGGTTAACTATGGAAAATATTTACCTTCTAGTGAATATCCTTTATATAATGACCAATTTGAGAGTAACTTTTTTTTTTTTTTAACGTGCTTGGTGCAGGGTCTACAGGGTGTCACCAAACAGATGGGACTCGGTGATTCTCTTGTTTTCAGATTCCAAAGCACTGGGCTTACCGGAGTGTGCCACCACGCCCAGTCTCAGTAACCTACTCAGCGTGGCCTGGGGGTGGGGATAGGGGGGCAGAGCGCCTGGGATGAACCTTGGCCAGAGGCTGTGCTCCACCTAAGCCGACCTTTTAGTCCCCTGAGGTATCTGGCTGGCCCAAGAGTAACATGTACGCTGTAAATTTGTTTAAAGTTGCACTGTTTTTAAAGAGACTGTAGAGGAGCATCAAAAAGCCAAGCGACTAAGTACATTCATTGGTTCAATCTGTACTCACTGAAGAAAGGAATTACGGACACCACGGCTTTGTCAGAGGCCATCATTTTCCCCCACCCCCTTTTTTTTTTTTTTTTTTTTTTTGGTGGTACCGGGGATTGAATACACAAACCTGTACATGACCTTGTGTTTTACTATGCTTTTTACTGCACAGTGTGGATATTTAAAGGGCTATTTCAATTCTAAATCTGAT